TGAGCGGAAGACCGGTGACTCCGTTTGTTTACAGCAGAACAACAAGCAGTCGCTCGGTTTAATTATCTATCGTCATAATGCGAGAGAATAGTGGGAAGATACACTTCTCAAATACGCGTTGTTGAAATAGTTAAAACTATGAAGACGGATTCATCACTACATGGACGTCTAAGGACTTGACTTACATAAACATCAGTACAGACGTTGTCATGAGTATCACAATCTGAAGCGTATTGTTCAGGACGGATTAGATTTCGGAAACAACCAGACCTATTCTTTCTTTCGTACTGCAGATTTAAAAAGTCTAACTTTCAATGTGGGATTATGACATTTCGGGTTCCATAAAACCAGGGGATTTCTAACAGCTGGATAAATATGAAACATTCAGGAGGGACCTTCACCATGGAATTAGTCGCGCAGATAAACAAGTCACATGTGGCTGCACGCTTTCAGTCGGAGCTTTACACCCCTCGTTTAGCTGCTTCTGCCACATACAACTACCTGATTATAATGCGTGTCTTCGCCCACTGTTCTTAGTGTTTATTTCAAGTTTCAAGAACGTGAGTTAATTTTCTATTTCTGCATTCGAAGAATGAGGGCCTATTCCACCTGATATTTCAGAGTTGTGTAAGTGCAGCCCAAATTAAAATTATTTAAAGATTTTCAGGTCCGCAATTGACAGCGATTTAAATTAGGTAGCTGCTTCTTCAATGCAAAATATCATTGGTGTTTCGAAATTCAGGATGGACTATCAGCTACAAATGTTTAGCTTCAAATAAAACGATCTTTTGCGACAAACGGAATAACCGAAAAGCAGTCAGCCATGGCCTATTTAAAGGTGATGTTCCGGCCTGGTGGAACTTCGAAAACCACGAAGCGTGTCGGTCATGACAGAAGGTTCTTGCACTGTCAGAAATTCTAGTCGGGCACCTACAAGTAAGAAACGTTGCAGTTTGAACAAACTCGACCGGTATTTCAAAAAAGTTTCCAAGTATTAACATTTTTGATGAGGTGTTGCACAGCCATGCGCACCGCGTAACCGGTGGATCAGGAGTAAATGTAAAACAAAGAGACACAAGTGCGAAGTCTTTAACTTACGCCCGCCAATGGGGCGAAAGATACTTGCATGGCTGTAGTAAGTGGCGATTACTGTGTGAAATATGAAGCGATAAAAAGAAACGTTTTCGCCCTAAGATATGTATCAGAAGTGTGTCACGACCTAGACCTCCCTCGTGTGCCGCCAGAGCAATCTACCGCTGGAATCTACCACAACTTGAGCTCGAAATTGCCTTGTTCTGTGTATTAGCCGCGCGAACATGTGTCGTTGTGTCTGAGGCGGTTCCTTCCTTGCTTTGAAATCGTTTTCTTTCCTATGGAAATCACGCCCACTACACTTGCTAATGTTGCTTTAGATTTTCAGAAGAAAGCTCCAGATATTTTCCTGCTAAATTCGAGAAAGCAAGCCCGGTAAGTCCCGACCTAACCTATCCTGACTTATGTGGACCAAAATATTGTAGCAGATCGACATCCTCATAATTTAAAGAAACATGGCCTATTATCTACAATCGCCACTAACATTTTTATAGGCATATATCTGCCAACAAGAGCATGGATGGGCTGAATAAAACCATGGAGAGACTCAGTCCGGGTTATTAGTCTCAAGTCCATGAACAGAACGAAATGCCTCACGTATAAATAGCTGAAGTACTAACAACTCGGCAGAATTACCGAAGTAAATTACGCTTCGTTCACGATATCAATGGAGTGAATGTAAACACAGGCTGATCACGTAGTGATAAAATTACTGGCTGTCTCTGTTTTCTGCAGCAGATTGTAGGTCTTTGTGGCTCAACTTGTACTGAAATATCCTGCCTTTGTTGAACCCGACATTTTCTTATCATGATTTAACCACCCTAGCAAGTACTTACTTTTATTAGGGCAGTGACTGGAGGTCAGCTGTAACAGAAGTTGTTTTCCCCTACAGGTTTCTGCTCATTGTGAACTAGAATTTCCAGTAATGCACCAGATACCTTTCCCGCCCACAGATAAGGCACACGACGAACAGTTAGAAACCATCCAAGGCAGATGTCAATATATCAGTGCAGTATAATACAGCTTGTCTCACCATAACAATGAGACTCGGCGTGTCCTTTTAGAACACAGACGTTAGAATGTAAATCCCAGTGTCAATGTATTGTGTATATTGTAATGCTAGTGATTAATATGGGACAGACCCACAATGTGATGAACATTTCCGTAGCACAATAACGAAGATATGGGCGAGGCACTTTGCCGTACATAAATTTGCACAAAAATCAAGTTCGATGGCATGAAGCCAACACACGCATGCAAACTCGACTGAAACAAAAGATGGCATACGGAAGGCACGTGGCATGCGCCTGGAAGCTCAACGCAACAGTGCAATAACTTTGTTTACTTGTGAAATATTCCATTTCCTATCATCCACTTAATATTATTGAGGTGATTTGATCAGGAAGAACGAGACAGAACAGATGTGTAGCAGGCGTAGGAAAATGCGACATGAGTGTGACATGTTTGGCCCAATACGCTTGGGAGATGTAGGCGTGGAAGGGAGGATAATATTAAAATTGGTGTTCGAGAAAACATGGAATAAAGGTGTGAACTTTTTTTGGCAGGCTCAGAGAAGAGACCAATGTGACGGTTTACGAACGTAATTATTGCAAAGATGGGAAATGTGTTTCAGTGACTGTTATACCCAATAACAGTGGGTGCGGTCTAAGACGCGTATTTCGTAAAGTATCGATCACGGTTCAATAATTTACGATGGTCGAAACCCCGTTCAATAAGTTCTACCAGGGGTCTTAAAGATGCAGCATTTAAGAATTAATTCTCCGGTAGGTCGGAACAAAGTAGATGATCTAACATTTATAACCGGAAAAAATCAAAAGAAGGAGAAGATCAAAAACCACTGTACAGGTGGCCTATAGCATGATCTGCAGGCTGCGAAGACCTGT